CGGATCCCCTCAACACCTCGGCTGCGCCTAGAAATTCTGTCCATGAAAGTAATGAACAGAATCAGTGACAATTCTGGTTTTCTCAGAATTGTCACCGATTCTGAGAAAATCTAACTGCTCATTTTAAATCAATACTTTTACTTTTAATACTTAAGTACAAAAAATAGCAGATACTTTAATACTTTTACTCAAGTAATATTCCTGAAGGAGACTTTTACCAAAGTAATTTTTTGGTAAGATACTTGTACTTTTACTCAAGTATCACTTTTAAGGTACTTTATACAACATTGCTAATATGTTAAAGTGTAACAGGGCCGTTAAATAGGAAGATTACAACTTACAAAATAACTATGTTTACCTAAATGAATACAAGGGGAGAACCTTTTTTGATTATTAAAAACTTGTTAAATCTTTAAAAAAGTTAGACTCATTATGAAGTTGTACTAAATTTTTTGAGCATATTAATCAGCCTTCTGCATTATTAAAATGAAGTTTCTGGCATGTAAGTATGTGTCACACAGATGTAACATTTTGTTCTTTTCATAACATTTCTCTGTAATTTTACAGATTAAGAGCTGTGTGGCATAACATCCTTAAATTATTCTAAATAAATGTAATCAGTGGCACGCCATGCTAAAAAATGGGTAATTAAAAATATAGGGCTAAGATCGAGTTAATGAAAGAGGTTTTCATTATTTGTCCTAAATCTGCATAGAAATAACGTCACTCATTGATCCGATTGGCTCAGTGGTAACATGTAAATCCTCAAACACAGGGGACCAGAACAAATGCCTTGTTGACCTAAATAAAATGTGTATGAAGAAACAAATCTGGACTGAGACACGTAAAGCAAACAGACTATTCATCACAACACTCCTGATGTGTTACGTGTGCTTTTCATGTGCATTGTGTGTGCCACACGCAGACACTCCTTTGTGTTGTGTTTACCTCAAACACACACACATGTAAACAGACATGCAGACTCGTACGCGTGATGCTGTTGCCAAGGTGTGGAGCGTTTGACATCAGATGCTGCTGCTGCTAATGCTAACAGCTCAGAGCAACAAATATGACAGAGAGACAGATGAAGCCACATGCTGCAGAGGAGCTGCTGCCCCCACCCCACCTCAGCAGGAGAAGAGAGAAAAATACTCACTCCAATGTCAGCCCTGGTATTCTCAGTCTCTCCCGCTGGGCTTTCATGGCTGAACTGTGCTTCTGTGCTTCTTTGTGGTCATGATATGCATTCAGTCTTCCTGCATGCTGCCCCCTGCACCGACAAAGAGCCCAACCCAGCCACCGGAGTGTGATGAGTCGGACCGGTTCTGTTCCCTCACAAGCAGGGAGGGGTTGGATAAGGGACGGGGGGCTACAGACCCTGTTCTGGTCTCTCTACATTCCACCTTGAAGCTGTCAAATAAGATCCTCATATGCTAGCAAAGGGCACGGAGGCAGGACAATACCTCATCTCCCCTCCCTTAACACGCCCCCTGCTCCTTCAAAAGCATGACCCCCCCACCACCACAAGCCCTTCACCGGCAGATGACTGGCTGCAGAGCAGAAATTCATGCAATGAAGTAAGTCTCATCTATGTGCAGTCACCCTGACAGCCGCGAACACAACGTTCAAAACAATGTGACCACAAGCACAGGGATGATGTCATCTTCAAGAGAGAATCATACTGCACCACAAACTACACTCACCAGCCTGGAGGAAGACTCACAAACACACTAAATACAATTAGCAACTAAATACATGACTGTTTAAGATCATTTGACACAATTAAGTTCATGTTATGATTACACAAAAACAAAAAAGAAACACTGTTTATTAACTTTGTCTTTTCTAAAACTACTTTTGAAGTATATATTTTCCAAGTTTGTCCTCCAAAGATACATTTATGCATTTTTTAAGCCTCAACAAAAAGACAATATTTTACTGAAACAGTGAAAAACTTCTGTTGAGCTTTTAAAAAACTCTGAAAATCATTTTTGTTTACAGGAACTACCAACAACAACAACACATTTTCTATTTCTATTCCTGTCCTGTTTAAAACTATGCAGATCCCAGCAGTGCTCCACACTGTACTGAAAATACCTTTCACACAACTCTTTAACCAGTGACCAACACCTACAGGCCACCTGGTCTGACTTCTGAATGAATGAGGCGGTGGGGCATATGTGTGTGTGTGTGTGTGTGTGTGTGTGTTGGGGGGGGGGGGGTGTCAAATCCAGCCCACCATGCACCTTTTTTGCTTTCTTTATCCAGATTTTAAGCAATATTGTTTTGAAGTTTTTGCAAAACAGTTTAGTTTTACATTGTTATAGCTTCACATACATATTTATTTATTCATTTTTGAAATAATATGAACAAAAAACCACCACTGTGCAGACTAAGACTTTAACTTTTTACATTTTAAACTGATTTTACACAATCAGGCTACACTCACACCTCACCACTTAAGTGACCCACAATTGCAGAAAATGTAACGTCACATGCAACACACTGTAAACAGAATATGGCTGCTACAAAAAGTGTGTGTGGATCAGGTCTGAAGTTGTGCAATCACAGCCAACTAAGCTATTTAACATGTCTGTTATAATCTTGTTAGATCCGAACACTTCCTGTGGTTCATGACTGCACTTCTGAAACTGAAGCGAAGCACTGAACTCAAACAACTTTTGGTACCAGAAACGCCTCTGGGATGTGTCTTTAACTTAAGCCGAGCTTCCTGATGGCAGAGCACCCCCTCCCCCTCCCTCCCCACACACCCCGCCCATGACTCCTACAGGCTCTCGGGTGAAACTGAAAGTGAAACTGAGCTGAGCTCCACTACTGCTCACTCAGTGAAGCTCTTTGCAGATTAAAAATACCTTTGAGGAAATGTATTTTCAGATGCCAAGTAAACTGCATCATGGCAGCCCCCGCACTGAAATGGGCGAGACAGAAGCAGAAGGTGGTTCTTAAAGAGACAGAGGTCAATTTCAAGATGTTTAGAAGAGGAAGTGATGAGAAGATAACTTTATTTTCTATTTAAACATAAAACCAGTTTTTTAATAACAGCTAAAGGTGACATAGATACTTTATTATGGTATAGTATTTAAAATATGCCTGAGAAACACATAATATTGGCTCTTTAACATAAACAAACTGTTTCATGGGGGACCCTTTTCCGTGCAGCACCGCTGAAGGTGCATGCAGGAACGAGCAGCACATGGGACAAGTTAGAGTCACTGAGGGAGCAGCCTTCTCAATAACTGGCGGCGGTTTCATTGCTTAAAACAAAAAAAATACTTCCGTTTTCACCAACGATGAATGTAGAATACACCTCTTCAGTGACATGCAGAGACAGACTTCACGCGTGAAGTAAGTTTGCCTGATAATGATTTTTGCAACCCTCCTCCTTCACGACTGTAGCTGCCTCGCCTCACTGCTAACTTGGCTTTAGCCCAGAATGCACGACTAACGTCTACAACCAGAGAAGGAAGAAAAGACAGAGGAGGGAAAATGCAAGAGGTAAAGTAAGAAACAAAGTCAAGAAATAGTTTCTGTGTTGCAGAAAGAGGGTAACACCAGCTGATCAATAAGCAGATTTGGTACATTACATTTTAACATCAACCTGAGCTGTGATGGAAAAAACCCATCCAGTCCCTCATAATATGGACAATTTTTAAAAATAATGTGATATAAAATTTTGGTCGTACCTCCCAGCACTGCTATGACAACAAAGCTAGTTTCATATATAAACTGAGTGAGAGCAGTTTTATAAGCAACTAATCATCACATTTGATCAGATTATGTCACAACGTTCTTCTTGCAGGTCATTGTGTTCTGCCAGCGCTGCATCAGGCAGAGATTATGTAGATCTGCTTTAAGTCACTTTTAGGGAGGTTTTGTTCAGCTGCTTTGTTCTTGTTTTTTTCTTTTACAAGTTTTTTGTATATTTCTCTATTTGACATGGAAATGATTGATAGATGGAGGCAGATGATCCGCTGTGGCGACCCCTAAAGGGAGCAGCCGAAAAACAAAGAAGACCTGGAAATGATTGATATTGTGAAGTATCACGTGTAAAAATCATTATATGCCCTCTAATCAATGTTAAATAATTTTGTTTTGTTAAAATACATCCACTAGTTAGTACATGAGATTTTCTTTGCTAACAGACACTGAAGCCAAACGCACCCATAGACACCCAGTTATTAAGAAAACATGTTTTTGTTCTCAATAATCTCAAGTAAAAGGAAGAAAGTTTGTGCTTAAAGAGAAACTGTCAGATTACTTCAAAAATACTTGTCAGAATCTTGTGAAGTAATCATCTAAAAACTAAAATTATTACTGCAGACCAAGAACAACTTCATGTGCAGGGACAGAGCTGGAGAAGCATCTGTGAAACTGAATGTGACACAATCTGCAGTCAACAGATCAGCTTTAAGATCCTGTTGCACGGAAAAACATTCGGTGGGGTTTGAACAGCCCTCTTTGAGCTCTCAGTGCAACAGGCAGCGTTTTTGAGCTGATGCTGGGAAACAAGATCTTGTATAACAGCCAACAAACCCAACAAGCACATTTTGAGCTGTTTTTTTTCCCAGTTATTGAACTGAACCCAGCAAAACAATTGCAGTTATTAAGGTCAGACTATAAATAGTAATCTCTCAACTAGAACAAAGTTTGTGCTGAAAACAACTCCAGCTAGATAGAGTTGCAGTCCTTCACTCGTGGGGCAATGGATAAAAAAAAGATGTTCAAGTGATTTAAAAGAAAACGCAAAAACAAAACTACATAATAATAACAACTAAGTAATGACATGAAACCTTCAATAGGTGGCCCTCCTGTCAAAGGAAAGTCTCAGAGTTCAGCAGCTGTGAGACAACATGTAGACAGATGCAGGCCTCTGCTGACAAACTCTGATTAGAGCAACAGTGCAGAGTCTGATGGGCTTTAATCGAATGGATCTGCCACAATAAATCACACAGAAAACCTGATATAAAATTATTAACATGGCGCTCGTGTAAAAAAATAAATCAAATCTGCCAGCTTTACAACAGACACTGTTGAGTTTGAAGCAGTCATGTAAACTTTGTCTTACAAATAATATTATCCAACAGCATTTCTATGGTCACCAAGGTCACCAGAGGCTCAGCACTCTACATAGAAACAGTGAAGTTATTCACTGCAGCCTTTAGAGATAGGTCACTTCCATCACATTGATAAGCTGACAGAGAGAGCAGAGTATAAAGATTGAGGGTCTAAGACTCCTTGAAGGAATGCACATCACCCCCTTCCTTTCAAACCCAGGTTTAAATAACACCACCTTGTGTTGAAAAATGTTATGTTTTGTATTTGACTCCTTTTGATCAAACAGTCATGCACAATCACACGTGACATCGCAAGGTCTTGATGATCCCTTACTGCTCAGCAGTATGTGTTGTGAATGACTTTTAACTACTTCCACACAAAATAATAGTTAAATTTTTTTAACTGTGACTGGATTTCTGATGTCAAATAACTCTGGTAGCCACTGAGAGTTTTGCTTTTTGACTTCATTTTCTTCTTTACCACATCCATCTGAAGAAATGTAATCATTACTTTTGACAAGACCCTGATCTCCAGGGGTCTCGTGCATAAAGGATTGTGCAGCTTTCACACTAAAAGTTGACGTACGGACAAATTTAGAAAAGTGCGCCACAACAAAATATTCAGATGTATAAAACCATGCGCACACACATTTCTGCGCTCCTTTCCTTTTTACGTATATCCCAATGAACGTGGACACCTCCCATGACACATCATTTAAATCTGTAAAATAGATATAAATGTGTCCAGCGTGTGAGATTCTCCTCAGATTATCCTCTCTGTGGGATCCAAAATGATTTTTTAGATGCAGGAAAATTATACATTAAATGGAGAATGAGTGAGAAAATTGTCTAAATAAGTAGTGGGGTGTAAAAATGTGTTTGCCACACACAAAGGTGTGTGTGGGTGTTGGTGTGTATACGTGTGTGCTGCTAATTTCAGCAGCACATGAGGCTGAGAGACATTTCCACCTTTACACATCTTTAATAAATGACTGTAAACACAGAGGAACTGATGAGTTTGGTAGAACTTAGAAAATATTTATTAAATAGTTGAAGATAAGGAACGACTGACTCGCAGCGCTGCGGGTTTCTGCTGCGGTGTGGGACTGGGAACAGCTGACATTGATCCAAACACACAACTTTACACAGAAATCTACTGCGTCTTGTGGAGCAGAGGAATCATCACAGCTGAGCTGTGAATTAATCTGCTGAGTTGACGGTTTTTTCCTCAGAATTAAAAATGTTTCTTAGACAATTCACACATTTTATTTCCCTCAGCTGTGTGTGCGCTCCGCAGGCCTGCGCTCTGCGTGTGTTTCCAACTACATGACAACAATATAAAAACATTTACAGTTTACAGACTGGACTGAGGTTCTTTGATCAGTTTTAGACTGATCTATTTTCTTGTCTGAGGTTAAATGATTTTCAGTCCCGGGGTTCAGTTTCATCATCGTTCAGTTTAAACAATAAAAACTCAAACTAAAATAAAAATCTTACAGTGTTCAGTCGCTCCTTACATCCAGAAAACACAACAGAGTCATATTTCTGTGGATTCAGGTCAGATTCATGACTTTGTGGGTTAAAACTGTCGACTGAAAAACTTTGTGTGGCTGCCGCACATTCTCACGGCACGCAACGTTGGTTTTAATACATCACAACGTGGACGTAGAACCTGGCACACGTAACTTTTTTTATACATGTTTATACATGAGGACCCAGCTCTGTCCAACCACAACTTGTGAATAATATGTTCTGATACTTTAACTCCTTTTCCATGGCCTCCTTTAATTTCTCATGTGTCTGAGTTTTTACTGCAACAACAGAAGCTGCAGTCCATCCAGTACATGGGAGGTGCTTCAGGAGTCCTCTGGGACAGCAAAGCCCTTAAGGGCTCTTTTTTTTTTTCAGCTTGACAGCCTCCATCATAGCTGATGTCCACCTGCGGGTCCTTCAGTTGTTTCCATGACAGGAACCAATGACCTTCAGGCACAGCTCCTTGAAGCTGGCTTCTGCAATAGCAGCCCTGAACATGGCCCATTTGGATTCCATATCCTCAGCCTCCCCCTTACTGAGACAGAACCTCTTAAAATATTGTAGAAGCAACAAAGGCGGACTTCATTATTTTGGCTAACTTCTAATTTGTTGTGTGGTTCTGTATAACTTGAAGTTAGATAATTAGATAATCTGTGCCTTTGATCCCACTCTAAACAGGACTATTTATAAGTATGAAATATGCAGCCCATACTCGAAACACTGATGCCATCCAACACTTTTTTCTTTATTCCACATTTCTTTATTTTTCTGACCTTAAATATTGCTTATGTTTCATATGCTTATGAATTAAAATTTTCAACAAGTGGTATTAGATTGCATTTTTAAAGTAAAGTAACAACTGAGCTTTGCAACATTGTGTGCCTCCAATACCAGAGACTGGAAATATGTGCAAAAGTACAAGCAGCTCCATTGAAACGGCTCTTTTTACATGTGTGTGTGACATTTGTAAAGGTACTTACAAACTGCCTCTTCTGGGAAGACTCAGCTCCTTCTGCAAAAAAAGAACAGAATAAATGTGTGTTTGAGTATATGCTGTAATTTAACTGTAACATTTAAAAGCTTACAAAACTACCCAATAAAAAAATCATCAAGTCTTTTTCAAACTAACAGACAGAGGTGATTCTGGAAAAACAAACACTGTTTAAACCATAAATCGTCTTTGAAAAACTCAATGTGCAGGCACCTGATATGCTTCTCGCAGGTTTGACACTGACTACTTTAAAAACTAGACTTAAGATTTTCCTTTTTGATAAATCCTATAGTTAGCGTTAGTTTGGGTTTCCTAAGCAGTCTTCTATACATCTTGACATAAATGTCTCATTTTGTGTGCCGAGATTATGTTTGTCATAATCTAGAACTAAATAAACTTAAATAAATGATCAGTTAACCAATTTTTACACTTATACAAATCACAAAATGTGATAATAGAACTTCCGGTCAAAAACTGATTTGTTTAAAATATGAACTCTTTTATTTCAACCTCTAAAATTCACTGCCATCTTAAAATTAGTAAACAGGTTGAATTTTGCCAGAGACAAACATTTAACATGCTTTGTGTTTTTTTATTTGCACCTTAAAAGGATCCATGATTAGTTGTTTAGACTTTATTTGATAAACATATATTTTAATTGTAAAACAAATACTGTAAAAATACTGTAGGCTGTTTAGTTTTTATCATTTTTAAACTAAAAGTTTAAAATATATTACACAGACGGGACTGCTTTATTTACAAGCAAAGAATTCTGGGTAAATGATGGCGTGGATAGGTCCTCGGTGTGAGTGAGCTATATCCACCCTGAAGGTTAATCTTGGACAATATCTGATGATCG